ATATATTATTTTCATATACATTTTACTAATTTCCTTTCATCTCTCACCCTTCTATTATAGAGAAAGGGCAAATAGCAATATTAAAATATCTTTGTTAATTAATTACCTTTCTTAAAAAATATATATTTTATTGATTTTTTACAGAGAGGAAGGGTGAAGGATGGAGAGTTAGAAACATCAATGAGAGGGAAACATTAATCAGCTGCCTCCTGCACACTCCCCACTGGGGATGTGCCCGCAACCAAGGTACATGCCCTTGACCGGAATCGAACCCGGGACCTTTGAGTCCAAAGGCCGATGCTCTATCCACTGAGCCAAACCGGTTAGGGCAATTAATTCCCTTTTAATGTGCATGTACTTCGTGCACCGGGCTACTAGTTGTTTCATAAAAAGGAACACAAAGTAGAAAAGTGAAGTTGCTAGCTCTAACAAAGCATATGTGGTCAAAGATTCCATAAAATATTTAAAGATGCATTTTCTTTCCTTCTATTTTCAATATTGAAAATGTGCTTTTGAGAGGCCATTGGTTAATATGCATACACTTAAAATAAACCATTTTATTGTATTAAATAAGGATTCCTGTAGTTAAGTACAAATCAAAATGGAATTCACAAATTAGTAACTTAAATGGTATGACAATTACAGAAAGTGCATCTTTCTCATTTTCCATCTTGACACTACGCTGCTTTTTTGCTGTCTGTTACATTTTAAAAAAATAAAAACAGCCAAATATTTAAGTATAAGGCTGTTCCTGGGAGACAGAAAGTTTAGGTTAATAAGGGAGTTAAGTTAGAGTAATTGCTTGCAGTTTAAACAGACAATAACTTTTTTGCTTCCCTCTTAATGTGCTAAATAGTTGTGTCTAAAAAATATGCAATTCTTAGAAAGGTACCATTTCTGATTTTTTTAAAATTATCTGTAACCTTTGGAAACTAATTACATGAAACTACAGAATTAGCAAAGTCTTGAAATCTGTATGTAAAACATAAATTATGTCTAATTTCAAACTCTCATTTATTAAAAAAGTTGGCTCCAAAGATAGTCTTATATCATTCTTTAAAAAGGAAACTGTTCCTTTTAACTTTACACCCACCCCATAACCCAATTTCAAAACATATTATTTAATTTTATTTAATTGTCTTGGTCATGGACATTTCCAAGATGAGATTTTATATTTCGCTCCCATAGCTTCTGGTTATCAGAAAACCCATGCTTTCCTTTATTAAAGGAGTTTGGTCTTGCTGATGTTGGTGTATCCCTTCCAATATTCTTCATCCTCATCTTTGCTTCTGGAGGCATTTCCTCTGGTTCGCTATCTTCATCTTCATTAAAATCTGCTGCTACTGAAAGGGCTTTTGGAGCAAGAGTTGGAACAGTTTCTTTAGGTTTACTTGATCCAAGTTTGATGGATATGGCGGAGGCTTTCTTTGTTGTCTGACTACCTACGGCAGATCCAAACTTGGAGATCTTTGTAGGCTTTGTTGGGAGGTCTGCAGCTTCTTCAGCTGATCGCTTCTCAGCGCTGCGACTGGAACTTTCCCCTCCATTACTGGAAGAAACAGTCTTAGTTTTCACAGGTTTTTCTGCTTCCTCTTCAGGTCCTCTGGCGGCCCCAGCTCGCTGCGGCTTCTCCAGCTTCTCCTCTCCCACCTTCCCGTCCGCGCACCTAGGAGCTTCTTAACATCGACACTCTAAGTGCCAACTAATCAGAGACGTTGTACACTTCTTGGCATGAGCTATATTCTCATTTGTATTTGGTAAGAATTTTAAAAAGTACTTCCTTCCTGAAGGGCCACGTGACAATCTGGATAAGGAGCTTTGACCAGGAAATTTCAGTTCTAGAATTCCTTCTAGGTAAACAAGCTGACAATGTGCAAAAATGGCTTCACAAAGATATGCATTGCAGCATACATTATAATAACGGTAAACTGGAAACAACCAATAGAAAAGTGGTTAGAAAGATGAGTTTTAAAAGAAAAGGTTACTTTCTGTATGTTAGGTATTTATATGTTATCCTATGTGTTAAGATTTTTAAGATTTGGAAATGTTTACACCAAAATGTCAACAATGATAATCTTTTTTAAAAAAAAAATATTTTATTGATTTCAGAGAGGAAGGGAGAGGGAGAAACATTAATGATGAGAGAGAATCATGGATCGGCTGCCTCCTGCACGCTCGATCCTGGGGATCGAGCCCGAAACCTGGGAATGTGCCCCTGGCCGGAATAGAACCCAGGACCCTTCAGTCTACAGGCCAACGCTCTATCCACTGAGCCAAACTGGCTAGGGCAACAATGATAATCTTTTGGTGACAGAGTTATCTGTGACTCAAAAGTTTTACTTTTTTATTTTTGCTTTATATGAATTATCTGGATTTTCTAATTTTTTTCTAAAATGAACATGTATTGCTGCCTGCCTGTATGTAATACTAGAGACCTAATACACAAAATTCATGCAAGAGTAGGACATCCTTCCCCCAGCTGCCGGCACCGGCTTCCCTCTGGCACCCAGGACCGAGTTTCATCCGGAAGGTTGTCCGCTCTAATTAGCATATTATGCTTTTATTATTATAGATTTTTTTTTTAATCCTCACCTGAGGATTTGTTTTTATTGATTTTTAAATTTGATTTTAAAAAGAGAGAAACACTGATGTGAGAGAGAAAAGTTGATCAGTTGCACCTGGCCCAGGAATGAACCTGCAACCTAGGTATATGTGCGCCCAGACCGGGAACTGAGCCTGCAACCTTTTGGCATAAGGGACAATGCTCCAAACAGCAGAGCCACCTGGCCAGGGATGCAATATTATTAGTTAGGTAACACTTGCCAGTCAACCTAACTTTAAAAGATTAGAGGGTACTTTTAATGATAATTGCTAAATAAGTTTTGGTAAAAATTCTAAATTCCTCATGAGAAGTATTTACAGAGAACCCTATTTCTGAGGTCTGGCTGTCAACTATATCCTGTTTCCAATTCCTCTCTTCCCCAGGGGCCCTCGTGCCAGGAAAGCCCAGCACCCGCATGCCACTGCGGCCAGGACTCACCAGGTAGGCTCTCCAGAAGGACTGGATGCTCAGCGCCGCCTCCTCTTCGGTCAGCAGCAGGGACAGTGGGACGGGCGGCCGCGGGCTAGAAAGCAAGAAGAGGGCCATGTGCCCATGAGAACATCCTTCCACTTCAGCAAGGCCTTTCACAGTATAGTGGCCTCACTGAGCAAGTGCCTCATCCATTCCCCTTCTTAGAAAGCAGCATGTCACTTCTGATAGAAAAGTTTAGACTTGAATTAGCATGTTTTTTATCTCAACCAGCATAATCTTAAACCACTGCCAGTGGTTTGTAGGACTGAGGTTGGTGAAGGTGCAGATTAGTCCTGAAGGCGCAACACACGTTATTGACATGAGTCCATGGAGACAGAGCCCGAGACAGAGCAGAAGGGCCTTCACACACTGCATTGTAACTGACACACAATAAAGGGCTCTTCCCTAACTTTCTATAGAAGGGAAATTAAGGAACCTATTTCCTAAAAGCAAAATGTTGGAAATTATCTCTGATCAGTGTATATTCCAGTTTAATGTGGCATAAATTCAAGAATATACGTAATTTCTACTACATCTTTTTAAAAATATTTTTATTAATTTCAGACAGGAAGGAAGAGGGAGAGAGAGAAAAACATCAATGATGAGAGAGAATCATTGATCTGCTCCCTCCTACATGCCCGCCTGATCGAGCTTGCCGCCTGGGAGTGTGCCCTGATTGGCAACTGAACCATGACCTCCTCATTCATAGGTCAACACTCAACCACTGAACTATGCCACCTGGGCAGCCATGGTTTTTAAATATGGGACTTATGATCAAGAATCACATCCCAATCTGAAAAATCCAATAGCAGATACTGTCAACTGACCCAACACTTGAGACATTTCATTGCTTATTACGATACTAGAGCCCTAACTAGTTTGGCTCAGTGGATAGAGCATCAGCCTGCAGACTGAAGGGTCCCAGGTTCGATTCCGGTCAAGGGCATGTACCTTGGTTGCGGGTGCATCCCCCATAGGGGGTGCGCAGGAGGCAGCTGATCGATGTTTCTCTCTCATCGATGTTTATAACTCTTTATCCCTCTCCCTTCCTCTCTGCACGAAATTCTTGCATGGGTGGGGTCCCTCAGCCTGGCTGGCAATCAGGGCTGGTCAGGGCCATCTTGCCCAGTCCTGATTGGGGCCGGTCCAGCTGGGGCCTGCTGGATTTGGGGAGGGACCAGGGGAAGTTGGCTGGCTGTGGGAGCGCACTGACCACGAGGGGACAGCTCCTGCATTGAGCGTCTGCCCCCTGGTGGTCAGTGCGCATCATAGCAATTGATCAACCAGTCGTTAGTTCGTAATGGTCGCTTAGGCTTTTCTGTGTATACTACAGGCCTGTTGCAGGAAGATTCCTGCAAGAATAGGGCTTCCTGCAGCCGAAATGAAACAGAGAAGGGAGTGAAACCCACCGAGGTGGGCTTTGCTCCCGCCTCCGCCGCCCCACTTGCTTCCCTTCTGCCTCTGCCACCCTGCTTGCTTCTCTGCAGCTTTGCTCCCTTCTGCAGCACTTGGCTTCCTTCTACATCATCTTCAGTCTTCACTCCGCACCTGTGTATGCAAATTAAATGCCATCTTTGTTGGGTTAATTTGCATACTCATCTGATTGGCTGGTGGGCATAGCACTGTGACACCAATTTACATGTTTCTCTTTTATTAGTGTAGACTAGAGGCCTGGTGCACGAAATTCGTGCGTGGTGTGTGTGGGGGGGTGTCCCCTCAGCCCAGCCTGCATCCTCTTCAATCCAGGACCCCTTCGGGGATGTCTGACTGCTAGTTTAGTACCAGGCCTAAACTGGCAGTTGGACATCCCTCTCACAATCCTGGACTGCTGGCTCCTAATCGTTCACCTGCCTGCCTGCCTGGTCACCCCTTACTGCCCCACCTGCTGGCTTGGTTGCCCCAACTGTCCTCCTCTGCTGGCCTGGTTGCCCCAACTGCCCCCCCCCCAGCCTGGTCCCCCCCAACTGCCCCGCTCTGCCAGCCTGATTGCCCCACACAGCCTGCTTGTTCAGTCATTTGGTCGTCCCTCACTAACCCCCCCTGCTGGCCTGATCATTGGCAGCCATCTAGTGAGGGTGTGAGGGTTAATTTACATATTACCTCTTTATTATATAGGAGGACTAGAGGCCTGGTGCATGAAATTCGTGCATGGGGGGAGGTCCCTCAGCCTGGCCTGCACCCTCTCGCAATCCAGGACCACCGGTTCCTAACTGCTCGCCTGACTGCTTGCCTGATCACCCCTAACTGCTCGCCTGCCTGCCTCATCACCCCTAACCACCTCTGCCTTGGCCCCTGCTCCAGCTGGCCGCAGGCACCCAGGACCCAGGCTTCCTTCCCTCTGGCCAGCTGCAGGCACCCAGGACCCTGGGCAGCTTCACCCGGACCCTGGCTTTGTCAGGAAGGACGTCTGGAATGATGTCCAGAAGACATCTAATCTATCTGGTCTAATTAGCATATTACCCTTTTATTAGTATAGATAGATAGTAGAACAAGCGCAGCTGGTTGGGGGTGTGCAGGAAGCAGCCGATCAATGATTCTCTCTCATCATTGATGTTTCTATCTCTCCCTCTCCCTTCCTCTCTGAAAGCAATAAAAATATATTTTAAAAAAACCATGGCTAAATTCTCTTTTTATTTTCTCCTAAAGCTTTATAGAGATCCTAACTGCTGATAAGAATTTACAAGTCTGAATTACTGTTGGTCCCTTATGTTTCCCCAAAACACAGCAACCTTTGAAGAGCAGAAGGCAAAGCATTTCAGATGCAGTTCAAATACACAGTTTCTGCTAGTCTGCGGCCACACAGATGCTGCGCCAGGGCAGGAGCCCCAGACCTGACTTTGGATGCCAGGGACTCCCACTGCCCTGGCCTTGACTCTCCCTAGGATGCCATCACGTGACTTTACTGTAAGCCCATGTACAGAGAGGTTGAGTAACCTGTCCACAATCACACAGCTTCTAGTGGCCTAGTCAGGGCCCAGGCTCCCTCCCAATGCCATGCTCACACCAGACCTCAGCTGGGCAGACCATGGCAGCAGCCACTCTGGCAAAGACGGCAAAGTTGACTGGCAATAATGCAGGATCTGACTTAAAAATCACCACCCCCACCACCTCCACAAAAACCTTTAATGCTGTCTAGAATTATTCCAGAATCAAAGAAAGCCAAGCCAGGCGTGTCATGCTGGCCTTGAGGACACTTGGAGTCGGCAGTGCCACAGCCTTTCCTCTTGGAGCCTCTTCTACTTCTGCACGCGGTGATGTGGGGCCTCTCCCTGCCGCTCTGTCCCTGCTGATGGGAAGGATGTGGGGCTTTCTCCTTCAGGGCCTGCTTGTTCCCACTTCTCCCTCTCAGGCAGGCATTCTTTGGGCTGCAAGCGGGTATATGTATTTTGCTGGGGGCCGGCCCTGGAGATGTGTCAGCTCCCGGCTTTCCACTTAATGCCTCTCTTCACCCACTGTCTTTATTCTGTGACACCAACAAATCCCACCCTTTAAGTAATTCTCCTTCACCAGTTAAAAGGCAGTGGCTTTTAGGAAGATCTGTTTCCCAGGCCTGGGGTGTCAGCAGGGACCTGGGAGAATGATGCCACCATACCATGGGTTAGCACCTGCTGGCGTCCACTGGGGCCTCTGAGCCCTCCCTCAGTCCCGCTCCTGTGCTCAGCCATGCGGTCCTTTCCCTCCTCACATGCTCTCCCCCTCGGGTCCTCCTGCGCCAGCCAGGGCGCTGTGTAGTGGGCAGGTAGCTCTCTGCTCAAGGGCACCCCAATGGGCGGAGAGCCCAACTCTGAGCCTGATGTCAAGGGTGAGAGCTGACCTGCCTTGGGCTGGGAGTGTCTTTTCCTAATTTGCTCAAAGGCACCTTAGGGCTGGGGGCCTGACACCTCTTTTCCTAACTCCCTTGTTCTTTCTTCCCGTCTCTCTGCCACTGCTAGTGAGAGATGTCCTCTGCTTATATCAGGGCCCAGGAGGTCTCTGCATTGTCCTTTCTAGTCCTTGGCCACTTTGGAGAGAGAGCTGTGAATATCTAATTAAGACCCAAACGCCAGCTGAACCAAAAGCCCCACCAGGACAGACATGGCCTGTTCGCTCCTCCAGGCCATTCGGCACTTGGGACCCGCTGGGCTGAGGAGACACGCAATGATGCTGTGGAATAAGCCTCGGTGCCCGGCAGAGTGGGCCACCCACTTCCCACACCCCATTTCCCCAAATCTTCACATTAACAATGAGCTCTGTGCTTCCTCCTCTACGTGAAGAAATTGAGGCTCAGAGGAGTGAAGGGACTCGTTCAAGGTCACTAACCGCTTTCTGCCGAGAATGCAAACTGGCCCGGGAACCCAAAGAACAGCCCGAGGAGAGGAGCAGGCAGCTCCCAGGTCACCAGGGAGGAGAGGGTCCCCAGCTGCAGGTCAAACAGAGGAAACCCAGCCACCTGCCTAGATGACAATGGGGGGAAAGCCGCATCGCAGACAATGGCCGGTGCCAGCAGGGCATGTGCAGCTGCCACCTGTACCTGGTACATGACGGCGCCTCTCCATTCAGCTGCAATTTTCGTATAATATTTTCACCACTGGTGCCATGAAACCCTCAAAGGACCAGTCCTCCTGTCCAGGAGCAGCAGGAGAAAGGAAGCTGCAGTCTGGGCCAGCAGTTGGGCCAGCAACAGAGGGCAGACAAAGGGCTCTCACCAAGAAGGGATGCTCCCGCTCCACACGACAGGGATGCTTCCACAGGCGGCATGAGGCTCTAAGGGCCTTTAAGCGGTCACACGAGGCCGCCTTTAGTGACATCCCCGCTTTCATGGCTAAATAAGGGGCGCGGTCTAGTTCTCAAATCCAGACTGAGTACGAGAAAGCCCATGTCAGTCAGGCCAAAGGCAAGGGCATCATCGTCAGAGAGGAGACTGGGAACCACCCAGCACCTCGGGAGGCCGCCTGCAATCAAAGAAGGCGTCTCTTTTGGAATCAGTGCAACCGGCTTCGGCTCCAATGAAAATAAGAGACTGAGGGGAGGCGACCACTCACCCGGGGGACAAGGGAGAGCAGAGGAGCCGGC